TTTATGTTTATATAATTTATATAATTTTATTAATTATAATAGACTATCAATCATTGTCTGATAATAATACTCCTAATAATCATTTGACTTTATCAGCATAATCCTTAAATAACAGAACACATCATTCTATGTGCAGTAATCAGTTTTTTTTCTTCCAAGCAAAAATACCTAACTGTATGAAAAATAAGACTTGGCTCTCCAGGGTTTCCCGTGGATGAAATGTCTGGAGTCACAGGAAGCTTAGACAGGTATGAAAAACATGCTGTGCCATACAGGAGAGATAAGACAGAGCTGGAATTCCATGGCAAGTTTTTCGAGTGTTGAAAGCACCTGACCTGACTGGTATGTGCTGGTACTCTTGATAGTGGATGGGTGGGGGATTTGGGGAGATGGTGTCCGTGTGTGTGCACGTGCGTTTAGTAGGGCCGAAGGGCGGATAGATTGATGTAAGTAAGTGATAAAGGCTCAGTGGACACAGCCCTGAGGCACCCCAGTAGTTAGATGTTGCGACTTGGACACCTCACCTCTCCAAGATACCTTGAAGGACCATCTGAGAGGTAAGACTCAAACCACTGGAGTGCAGTTCCTGAGATGCCCTTTGCCAGTAAGGTTGACAGGAGGATCTGGTGGTTAACCGTGTCAAAAGCATATATATAGTCAATGATATATACAGTACATATATTATCTATTCAATATTATTTATATTATATTATAAATGATAATCATGTTTAGATAAGAAGTCTTCTTTTTTTAGATATTTTTATGGGCCTTTTATGCATTTTTTTTTTATATAGATAGGACAGTAGAGAGAAACGACAGGATTCTTTAGATAAGAAGTCTTCTAAATTATTACTAATGAAAGCACCTGACCTGACTGGTATGTGCTGGTACTCTTGATAGTGGATGGGTGGGGGATTTGGGGAGATGGTGTCCGTGTGTGTGCACGTGCGTTTAGTAGGGCCGAAGGGCGGATAGATTGATGTAAGTAAGTGATAAAGGCTCAGTGGACACTCGACACAATCTGTCAGTGACAGTGTGTGCTTGCATGTCTCGGGTGGAACTGAGAGAGGAGTGTCAATTGATCAAACACTCTCTGTATCTGCCGTTCTGTCACTCAAAGCCCAGCAGGCCATGTGATTGGATACTCCACCCCAATCTCAGGGTGATGTCAATGGTACAAGCCAAGGTGATCAGGTGACAGCTCTACCATTCCTGTCACCTGAGGTGCTAGAAGATGTGATGATGAAGCTTGTTTTGTAAAGACTGAGTCAGTTGTGTGCACGTTTTTAAACAAAACTTTTAAAAATAGAAAAAAAGTGAAGAAAAGAATTGCAGTGCTATTCCTTGGATATATGTGACCCTGGACCACAAAACCAGTTATAAGGGTCAGTTTTTCGAAATTGAGATTTATACATAATCTGAAAGCTGAATAAATAAGCTTTCCATTGATGTATGGTTTGTTAGGATAGGACAATATTTGGTCGAGATACAACTATTTGAAAATCTGGAATCTGAGGGTGCAAAAAAAATCAAAATATTGAGAAAATGGCCTTTAAAGTTGTCCAAATTAAGTTCTTAGCAATGCATATTACTAATCAAAAATTAAGTTGTAATATATTTACAGTAGGAAATTTACAAAATATCTTCATGGAACACGATCTTTACTTAATATCATAATGATTTTTGGCATAGCAGAAAAATCTATAATTTTGACCCATACAATGTATTTTTGGCTATTAATAACTTATTATTGTAATCTGACATGGTTTCATTAAAAAGAATGAGGCAGAAATCATGCCAATTTATATCATTCTATACAGTGATAAAGGCTATATCGATTAGCATTGCATTTTAAACTTTATTTCATATAAAAATACTCGAGATGGCTTGAAGAGAACAGATAAAACCATATGTTGTCGCAGTCATTGTTTATTTTCTTCACGTTTCATCAGTAAAACGTCTATCTGCATGTTATTCAGCTACTAGGCTACATCTACAGCGAAAGCTGAATTTCCTGGGACGTCATCAGTGAGTCTCACTTGTGGAGTTCTGCGCGAGGGCGCCCTCCGGCGACGAGTATGGATGAAAAAGAAATTACATTAATTGAGTAGTCATTATTGCTCACAAAACCCTAATTTGAGTAAAAACTGCAAAAATAATTACGAACTTTGAGGTAAACATTTGCAAATCCTTACGTTTTTCTCCAGGGTGAAGAAGTGTACATTTTTTTTTCTTGCAGATATATTTATAATTATGTTTATTCTTAAATACTCAGTTTTGTATATTATAGTGAAATAGTGTTATTACAAAAGTAACATTCCTTATTTTGTTTAATGTTTTTATTTAGAAATAATAACCATAATCATTATTAGTTTTACTGATATATACAAACACAATTTTTGGCCAAATTGTGCGGCCCTACAAGTACAGCAAACCTGGTGTTTCTTTTTTAATTTATTCATAATTTTGGGCCTTTTTTCCAAATAAAGAAAATTTTTGTCTGAAAACCATAAGGTTTGGATTTTGTGTGCCCTCTACAGAACATTAATGTAAAAACATTCAATGTCTGTAGCAGCAGTGTGACCTGTACAGAATATTAATGTAAAAACATTCAGTGTCTGTAGCACCGGTGTGACCTGTACAGAACATTAATGTAAAAACATTCAGTGTCTGTAGCACCAGTGTGACCTGTACAGAACATTAATGTAAAAACATTCAGTGTCTGCAGCACCAGTGTGACATGTACAGAACATTAATGTAAAAACAGTCATTGTCTGTAGCAGTGTGCCCTGTAAAGAACATGAATGTAAAAACATTCAGTGTCTGCAGCACCAGTGTGACTTGTAAAGAACCCAGCACTAATACATATACATATATACACACATATATATATACATACATATATATATATATATATATATATATTTGCCTTAAAAGATATGTAAAAACTGTTAAGGTTTTTAAACAGCTTATGCTCTCAGGGGTCCATGGAAAATTTGGGGAAAAAATATTAACTGTCAATAGCTCTATACAAATATACTTGAATTAAACTGAAAATGTTTATCTTCAGGTTTATACATCTACACTATACATAAGAAAAAAACAACAACAAAACAAACTAAAAAAAACCCAGATATTTCCTTAACAATAACATGTGTAACTTAATACCAGTGAAAAAGCAGAAAATTCCTTCATATTACAAAGGTACATTGCTCTATAGGTTTTTTTTTCTTAGGGTGGAATATTATAGATAATATTTTCCAGATAATATTTTTATATTATTTCATTTGGCTTTGGTCCAAAATAAATGTATACAAAGCTAATTATTTAATTTTACAGACATGTTGTACTGTATTTACAGCATGACACCTTTTCTCAAACAGTAAAAATTCATCTTTATATATGAAAATATATAGGACAGCTGCCTTTATTTTTTAGGAAGGGGGCCCTTCACATGGGGGATAATCACATTGAAGACCCATGTCCTATATCATTCAGAAAATGTTTTAAAAAATTGTGGTCATATTTATGTCCTGGTGTGCCCTCTGCTGTTTTGTCATTTGATGTCAGACTGTGGTCTTTTACAAATACACATATTACATATCAATAAAGTAAGTCACATGACATGACAAACAGTTATTGAATTAATACTTGGAAAAAAAAAACATCTTGTTCAAACAACAGTTGTGTTGTTGATCAATAGCTTACAACATATTTCACATTTACAACTCATTACTTTTCAGAAATTTGACTTGCTTTGTCACAGTTTGGTTTTAATTGTTTTGTTAACATATTTAATAATTTAAAGTTAATTGACTATTATTATGTGTACCCCATAAAGGAAGATACCCTTATGTTCTGAAATAAATAAAAAGCTACTTAGCCAAGATTAAGAACATACCCCCTTACACAAATAAAGGAACGGACAGTATTAAAAATATGGCTTAAGGAAAATACAATCCATTAAGATGATTTGGCCACATTATAGCTATCATAAGGCTACAAATAAAACTACTGAATGGACAGTTTACTTCATAAACAACAACAACAATAATGATGATGGTAATAATAATAATAATAATACTTTTAGCCATGTTATACCTGACACAGATTTAAACAGGTAGGAGGAATAGAAATCCTCTTTTTCTTAGAGTACAAACCACATAAGAATTACTTAATTGATTCTTTGGTTATTTGTCATTTAGCCTATGCATTCTTATTTAAAGTGATTTGCAGAACAGGAACATTTTTACCTGTAATGCAACCTGAGGTTATGATAAAAAAAGACTTATCATCACAAATATTTTCTATACTACAAACGTACACTACTGTTCAAATATTTGGAGCCAGCAAGTTTTTATTTTTTTTAAGAATTTAATGTTTTTATTCAGCAAGGACACATTACATTGATCAAAAGTAACAGTAAAGACAATTATTATGTTACAAAAAATCTATTACTGCTGTTCTTTTCTATTCTATTTGCTGTTCTATTCATCAAATAATCATCAATCGCCACTGATGATAGTAATAATAAATGTTTTTTGAGTAGTAAATCAGCATATTAGAATTATTTCTGAAGGATCATGTAACATTTAAGACTATATACAGGGAATATATTACATTTTACAATATGTTAAAATAGAAAACAGTTATTTCAAATTGTAAGAATATTTAACATTATTAATGATTTTACTGTATGTTTGGTCAAAAAATGCAACCTTGGTGAGCAGAAAACATAAAAAAAATCTTACCAACCCCAATTTTTTGAACTGTACTGTAGTCCATATGACCTGTGCTCTATATTCTTAGCCTTCTGAAGGCATACGCAAGCTTTGAATGAGGAACAAACCAAAGTTGAAGCAGTTCAAATTTCAATGTGCTGCAAGCTTTCTTGAGAAGAATGCAATTAATTACATCTTAAAATGAACAGGAGAGTTTTTAAACTCTCAAAATATGGCATCTAATGTGCAGATTTGACATACAAACAATACTGCCTTCTTTCTTCACCACTATTTCTCTGTCCTGTCCTTTTTTTCCACATCTCCAGGCACCAGTGCGCCATACCCATTCATTTTTTTGAGCCTGAGTTGGTCAGTGGTTCCCAGCGGCTGGTTTTCAATCTCACAAGCATTTCTTGACGCGAACATCTGACTGATCTCCACAAAGGGTTTGTTCTTTGTTTCAGGGATGATGAAGAAAACGTAGGCTGCCACCCCGACACAAACACCACAGAACACCAGATAACAGAATGCACCAGCTGACATCTGAAACGAAAAAATGAAAATCTGGGATTAAAAGTCCAATTTAACTTGAAAATGAACAATTAGTATGCTGACAATATAATTTGCAATTAAACATGTACAGCAATGTAACATATGACATATATGGCCCTATATCAAGAGTGATATTAACATATATATGTTACCTAAAGGGCGATATATAATTGTCATAGATGAAGATGTAAGTTTATAACATGCATAAAATCCCCATAGTAAAATGTGTATATTTACTTATGTTAATAATATCTACAGTACATGACGATTTTTTATAGGGTATTATGTGTAGCAACCATACAGGTCAACAATATATATTCTATTTATATATGCAACTTTATTAAAACAACATACAGAAATCTGTATGTTTATACTGTCATTTTTGTTTTGTACAATTATTTTCTTGTAATTTTTAAAGACATTTTATATATGATTATCTTTATATTTACTTAAAATATCAACATTTGGATTGACAAATCAGGCTTGCCTGAAGAAATGGAAAGACAAATCCCACAGTGAAGTTTGATATCCAGTTGACAAATCCTCCTACAATGTAGGCAGAAGGTCGATGGGATTGTTTAAAGAGCTCTCCTGTCATGAGGAACGGGACACCAGCTGTGCAGGAGCAAACATATAACAGCATTAAAGTCACATTAACACAATATATTTGAATTAATTAAAAAAAGCAACACAGCTATATGATAAGTTAGGTAGCTTATACATACCGTTGCATATACTGTACATGATTCAAAGCATTTTTTTTTCTTAAAAAAAACAAATACTCTTTCACCAGCAGGTGGCACTAGTCTATCAAATAAAATGCTTTATGGCAGCAAACCTTGGCTTCATTTTAGAATGAGTAATTCTGCTAATGTCATTCCATGAATATAACCTATTTAGAAGATTACAAATATAAAGGGCAACTTTTAAGAGTCAGATGTACATGAAGACATAAATATGGCAGATAAATGTTCAGTGAGATCCTCACCAGGCCCTATGCAGAATCCAGCGATGATTCCAACCACACAGGCCACACTAACATAGCGCATAAAGGATACATGACCCTAACACAGATAAAAAATATACACACACACACACAAATAAAAGATAAATCTTGTATATACAGGACAATTTTAGTCTCACTCAAAACTATGGAAATAATGGGAATATATACTTTATAAAAGTACCTTTAAGATATAATTAGTTATAGTAATAACTAATTATTACTCAAGGGTCAATAATATTCTTGAAGTCATTAAGACAATATCAAGTAAATGTTGATATTCATAATTACCTGTAATAGTAGGGAGAAAGTGATTCCAGCACAGCAGATGCCCATAAAGCTGAAGCCACCAATCATCAGAGGCCTCCTACCCACGCGCTCAATAGTAAAGCACTGGACAACATCCAGAGAATTATGAAATTATGAATTACTCACGGTGTTACTTAGGAGCCAATTATATTCTTAAGTGTTTTTACTCAGTATAGACCTGCAGTCATATTGTGTGTTTTTACTGCTGCACAGAAGCAACCTAAATGTATGTACACAAGAAACATAATTGCAGGAAACAATTAAAACTGGTTTCCTAATATTTATGGTATGCCTTTGTCATTGTGTTCTCACCCCTATGAGTCCAGCGATGACCTCTATGGCTCCAGTGCCCACGGTTGTGGTTGTGTACTGAATCTGATGAGCAGGAATGCCCGCATTCTCAAAGATGGCATTGGTGTAGAACCAGATCTAGAAACAGAAACCAGTTTATTATCTCAAATAATGTTATAGCCATTTTTATATTCATCATCACCAGTTTTCACTGTTAAAAAAAACACACACCGCATTGATTCCAGACAGCTGCATCCCAGCGTTGACCACAAGGACTGTAACAATCTGCCTGCGAACAGACGGATCACTGAAGAGCTGCAATACTGAGACAGTCTCTATTGAGGACAAAGAGCGCTGCTCTTCCTGCATCTCCTCCACCTCAGCCTGAATGTTACACTTGGCACGGTACCACTTCAGTGCTGCAAAGAGGAATCAGAATCTGAGCGTCATTATATAATTACATTAGATTCTATCAGATCACGTCAAAACAGCAGAGAATCAGAACAACAGAATACTCTGGTATCTCTACACTTTTAAAAAGTGTCCTTTGTAGAAATGTAAACTTAAAAGTTTTACTTTAAAGTATGTTTTAAATTGTTTTAATAATCTTTTGTTGTGCTTTAATGTACATTTATTTGAATGTTTGACTAACATACTAAAGCACATGTAAAGTACTTGATCATAATTTTTAATTTAGTGTTATTCGATATTACATTTAAAGTTAGAATTTTAAATGTACTAAATTGAAACATCATCATGACAAATGTGTAATTATAAATATATTTAAATACATGACATAAACGTTCCAATAGAAATGCCATGAACGCTTGTCAGTACATTCGGCAGTGAACTTTAACCGTTTGTCAAAGACAATAAAAGTAATTATCAAATTACATATAAAATGTCCTACTTTAAAAAAGTACAGTTCAAGCTAATTGCATCTTATACAAATTTTAACTATAATACTTTTTCATTTAGTGTCTGAAAATGTTACATTCATTCGCCCTTAAGTGTATTCTTTTAAAGTATACTATTTATGTAATATGTAAACATATTTTAAAAGTATGCTAAAGTGTACTTCTTTTTCTCAAGGATCCTCATGAATAAAAAATAAATAAAAATTGTCAATTTTATTTATATAGTGTCTTTTACAATGCGCATTGTTTTAAAGCAGAACAATAGTGTCAGGGTCCTGTCACCTTCATTGGTCTTATTCTTAGTTTGGTGACAGGATCCTGAAATTCATGTGTTGTGTGTCTTGTCCTCGTGTGAGCGTACAGCTTTGGGGTTGTTCTCTGTGCTGTGTGCTCTTTTCCCTTACGCATTGGGTGTTCGGGACATGGTGTCTGGACACACTTTGGTCTAGTCTTGGTTCAGTTTCAGTGTCAAAATCCTGACATCCATGCTCTGTGCATCTCTGTTTTGCATGTTGTTTTTTTCTGTTTGAGCGCATGGCAGATGATGGTTTGTTTGCCATGTGTTCTTCTGTCTTGTCATTGTGTTTTGTGTGAGCTCATGGTGTTGGGTGGTTCCTGCGCCATGTGCTCTTCTGTCTTGTCTTGTGTTTGTGGGAGCACATGGCTTCTGTCATGTGTGTTTTGCCATGTACTTTATGCACATGGCTTTTTGATTGTTTCTCTGTGCCATGTGCTCTTCTGTCTAGTCTTGGCCCTGCCCCCTTGATACCTGATCAGTAGTTAACTTTAACTGTATTTTTTTAAGTAAGAAGCCAAAGGCTGCTGTGGCAAGGACAAATACCATAAAGTGTAGAAAAAATCAACTTTGGAGAAAGCTCTGCCTATACAACACAATCATATGTTGATGCTAGTTAGCTAAGATATGGAAATGTTTAATTAATTATCTCATAAATCTGGTCATTCTTACATTTAAATCACACAAATATGTCAAGATTCTGTATGGAAATGGCTTAATGTTTCTGCTGCTACTCTCCTCTAATCCTGTCTCACATTCTTTGCTATAGTCAGTGAGTTCTCCTGCCTGGTAGCTGCTGTATGACTGATGGACCTTTGTAGTGCCAGCTTCTGAAGCTTTGAGATCACAGTACGCACAATAACAGCTTATGAGAGTCTGCTGGTCTGGCCACTAATCCCTCCAACACAATTCAATCAACCTTAATGCAGTGAACATTCAGAAGAATTTCTAGATTTTTTTTTTTTTCGTGTTTCATGGAAGATTTTAAGTTGCAAAACATTTTTTTTAAACACCAGAGAATGCAGTGGTCACTATTTTCCATGCAAAAGCCTCATAGCATTATAATAGTCCATGCAACTTTTATAAGCGGTATATAATGTAAGTCTTCTGAAGTTATGCAATTGCTCTATGTGAAGCAAAACTTTGCTATTCACTGATAATTTTCAGGGTATTTAAAAAAAAAAAAAAAAAACATCTTTCTTTAGAAGAAAGAATGTAATACGGATTTGGAACAGCATGATAGTAAATACATTTTTTATTTTTGGGTGAACTGTTTTTTTTTTTAAGTAAGAAAAGTCTTTACCTGTGATAGTGGCATGAATGTTCCGCTTTTCCATCAACAGATATCTCGGACTCTCTGGGAACCATGGCAACAACAAGAGTTGTATGAATGTTGGCACCACAACTAGAGAGAGGAACAGAGGCCAGTGCTCTTCCTATGTGGAACACCCAAATGATGATGATAAGAAGACTTAACAAAACTGAAAACAAAGCAGTAACAGATCTGTTTTAAAACAACAAAAAATTAAGGATATATCAATTAATCTGTGACGTTCATAACAGAGAAAGACAGTCTAATGTTATAAAATAAAATAGAAGGGAACCACCTTGCCCAAGATCTCATGGAGTCCCAGAATCTGAGCAATAAACACTCCAATACAGATGAAGATGCTGGGCACAAGTCCTAGGAAGCCTCGGAAATTCTTCGGAGCAATTTCTCCCAGATACATGGGCACTACGCTGAGAGAAATCCCTACAGAAGCACAACAAAGAAGCACATATCACTACAGCAGCTCAATACATAAGATTAAAATTAAGATTATAATTAAGAATATTAATGATGCCACTAGAAATCCAAAGGAGAAAATTCTAATCCATTATGAGTGGACATAGTTATGTGTATATATATGTGTATATATTTAAGAAAGGACTAAACTAAAATTGTTAAATGTATTCTGCGTTCATAATAAAAAGAAAAAAAAACAACTGTCAAAAAAACCTTCTTTTAAGTCCCACAGTAAAAAAAGAAAGTCATATAGTTACGGAAATGACATGGTGAGTAAATGATGACAGAATGTTCATTTTTGGCATTTAAGGCCTTCCATATTAAATGAAACTAATTACCTGAACGTATCCCTATAATGAAGCGCCCAATGATGATCATCTCTGGAGATCCACATAATCGGCTGAAGCCCATCCGCCCTCCAGCTATAAACACCAGAACTGTGCTGTGTACCAGTGTCCCTCTTCTACAAATTAGAAAGATGCACAAAGCATTCAAGCAGCTATTGAAATTTGGCCAGCTGATACAATGAGACAACATTTCAGAAACTATTCGTATTAAGTTTAATAGGGGAAAAAACATATTGTACATCCCAAATCTGGTAACCTGCATTCCCACTGTGAGAGAACCCACCAGGCCTCCAATGGCAAATATAGACACAGTGACTGAATATATAAGCGTGAGAGTCTCTTCATCCACTCCTGACCCATTCCGCCTCACAATGGTTTGGTTATAAAAGTCCTTTATGTACTTTGAGAAGAACAAAGAAAATATGATCCTGTGTAGCTCTTATAATATACATTTTTACTAACTTTTCAGGACTTTGCCAGTCATGCTTAAACAGTTATAATATATGCTAGGCAGTGATATGAAACCGCATTTCAATTTAAATCACACACCTAAAGAAATAGTTCCTCATAAAATGAAAATTTGCTGAAAATGTACTCACCCTCAGGGCATCCAATATGTAGATGAGTTTGTTTCTTCATCGGAAGTCTGAACAGATTTGGAGAAATGTAGCATTACATCATTTGTTTACCAGTGGATCCTCTGCAGTGAATGGGTGCCGTCAGAATGAGAGTCCAAACAGCTGATAAAACATCACAATAATCCACAAGTAATCCATACGACTCCAGTCTATCAATTAAATAAGCAAAAAGATTCAAATCCATCATTAAAAGTTTTTAACTGTTGCTTCTGGCTAAAATACTTTTAATATTTATCCATAATATTGCTTTCTCCAGTGAAAAAGTCGACTCGTCTGAATCAGGAGAAAAATATACACAGACCAAGCACTGTTTACAATCGAAAACAGTCCAAATGAGTTCTAAACAAATAAGTCAGTGGATTTTGATGTGAGCGGACAACAGGGGTTGGACTTTTTCACTTTGAGGAAGAGTTATTATGGATATTATGGACTAGTATTTTGGCCAGACACGATGGTTTAAAGTTATAGCACCTTCATAATGGATTTGTTTCTTACAAACACACAGCTTTTTACTTCACAAGACATTAATTGATGGACTGGAGTCATGTGGATTACTTATGCATTATTGTGACGTTTTTATCAGATGTTCGGACTCTAATACTGACGGTACCCATTCACTGCAGAGGATCCATTGGTGAGCAAGTCATGTAATGCTCAATTTCTCCAAATCTGTTCCAGTGAGTACATTTTTAGTAAATTTTCATTTTTGGGTGAACTTTTCCTTTAATTAAATTATAGCAAGTATGTGTTGGAGGACTTCTAGGCTGATCACAATCAAATTTGAATAAATGGGTCTAGTCTTATGTAATTAGACAAATAGCGAATGATAGCAAATAAAAATAACACAAGTCAAAATTATTAGGACAGACGTTGGAATGGATCAATGTAATCGCTGTAGAGAAAAACTCACTCTCCCCAAAAAAGATATGGTGTCATGTGATGGTTGAATTTTTCTCTCTCTATGTTGCTTTATCTCTCTCTCTCTTTCATTTGAATGACCTTTTTCGATCCCATTTTTGCTATTGTCATATTTATTTCTTCTAAATGAACATTTAGAAGGCTAAATGTTTATCCTCCCTGTTTCATTACTCTTTCACAAGCTGCAGTTATACTCTCAGTATGATCACGCTCTGATACTTCTATTCAGGACTTGTGACTTGTAGGCAGAAAGTATATGTATTTAAAGCCTCCACTGTAATCGAGAGTGAATTATTTAACACCTTGTGGTACTGACATCAATCATAGTTTAAATAGTCTTCATTCAAATTATATTTTATGTTGAAGGATATTAAACGTGAAGAACAAACCTTCAATCAACACTGAAGGAAAGAAGTGAAAAAACTGTGACTCGGTGTTTCAGCAAGTAGGTGATTTAATCCAGCTGCATAAAAAAGTGTTATGTGAGGCTATGTGAAAAACTGTGTTTGTGGTGTCACTCACCTCTGCAGGAGAATTAACAACAGCCAGGTTATAACCATACAGCATGGAGCTCCTGAAGGAAGAGAGGAATGCTACTGCCAACAGGGATGAGGTTAGATGCTGGAGAAACAAGTGACAGACAACCATGAGTCAGGTGGCCATTTGTAATAACATACATCCCTATTTTTGGATTAAAACTTTTCTTAAGATGACTGGCACTTAGATAAAGCACATTACATCGTTTCTAACATATAGCTGCTTTTATAAGGAAGCTAGTTTGGCTTAAAAAAAAATATATGGACATGAACAGACTTTTCTTTAATCATAAATCAGGTCTATAAGCAGCTTTGGGTGTTCAATACTGCTGGCTATATAGGCACAGGGATGCCGTGATCGGGGGAAAAGGGGGACTGAGTTCATAGGGCCCAGAGGCTTAGAGGGGCCAACAAAGATGTCCTGGGGCGGGCCAGGCTGAGATCAAACACAAATCTGTGCAAAGGTCCCAGAATCTCTAGCACTGCCTCTGTATAGACAGAATGAGTAGATTACAGAAAAATTTGTTTCAAAACACACTGCAATCAGCATGCACAATAAAGTAAGAATTTTCTCTCTGGAGTACAAAATCACACTTTAAACACAAATGTTAAATTGTTTATAACCGTAAACTGAGTCTAAAGTATTAGACTTTGGCGCTGATCCATTAGGCATGTGACTGCATTAGCGTGCAAGTGAGCCATGACTAGATCTGGCATGAGTGTTCACTGGCCAGGCAAACTGAGTTACAATAATTACCCTGCACATGTACAAAATCACTATCACCACCTGCCAAAAGTGGGAAAGCAGTTAAAAGAAATAAATTCTCAGTTGAGAAGAAGTGGAAAACTCAAAGTATGAAGGGAGAGATTGTCACTTGTGAATAACAATGCGTTGAAAGAGCAAAAATAGAAATAAATAGTCATTCCTTTGTTAAATTTCACAACCCATCTTAACTTTGTGTTGTATGTATTGTACAATGAATTAATAATGCATAGTTGGAGACTGACATAATATTTTTAAAAGTATTCTCAAAGAGCAACTATTTTTCTAGTAAAAACTGTAAAATTACAGTAAAAACCTGTAAACAGGGTCTGATTTACTCAAAACTTTATGGGTGGGACCGTTGAAAGAGAACTCAGGGTTCTCAGAAAGAGAGCTTTTTCTGCACCAGGCACAAGATGCTCACAAGATGCAGTAAAGAAGTAAAAAACAATTTTTTTCTTCATTCAAAGAAATTAAGTAATAATGTGTAAACTTTTCAAGACAGGCCTATGAATAGCTCAGGATCAATGACATGTAATTTTATAGTCATTTAAAATGTGATTAAATCATTAATTCACAATACTTGTTGGGATGAGTCATTTTCTAATTTCTTTTTTTTTTTTTACCTTCAAATCAACGGTTGTAATGTTGTGATTGATTTCTTAAGTTGGTTTGGTTTATCTTTATGTAAGATTTTTTTTTCTAATCCCCTCACAGAAAACGAATGGGAATGTTCATGACAGTTTTCACATTACCAATTTTTTTATGTGACCCATGCTCTGTTTGGTGCCACCTACTGTACATTGACAGCACAGTTAGTGATAAACTTTTTTTTTCTGCCTGACAAGATGTACTACTCAAGTTGTTATTTTCTAAGATGATTTTCTAAGATCTTGCTGCCATTTGCTCCTAGAGAGTTGCCTATAGCTAGACAGCAGCTTGCTAATGCTTAGCATTTATAAACTTGACCCTGAAGCTTGAAGAAGCATGAAAGGGGCGACATGTTATTTAATGCTTGTTTGATGGGTAAAATACCAAATAAAAGACACTTTGGACTGCTGCCTTTGAACATATAAGGACCATCTATTGTAATATAACAATTTTATAGAAACTTTATGAAACATTTTAATATTGATGGTTCACGAGCCATTCCACATGCAGATTGGCTAGTGACATTCTTCTTAGACACACACACACACACACACACACACATATATATATATATATATATATATATATACACGGTATTTTATTCTGAGAAAGAGCAGACGTGAGTTTAGCACCAGTAACAACATTATATGTAAAGTAAGCTTATTGGGCAACAGAAGCTTTACATAAGAATTTAAAATGTGTTTATACTAACTTTAGTGCCTCTTTAGCGTTATCTGACAAAAACGCATATGAAAATCATTCATTATTAGAGTCAATAGACGTCTGTTATATATCAATTTCTTTTTAATCTGCTGTCAAAGACATTATCTGTTTTTTGGTTGGAGAAATGCTATAAATAAATAGCTAAATAAATACATTGTATATATTTTAGACACACACACACACACACACACACACATATATATATATATATATATATATATATACACGGTATTTTATTCTGAGAAAGAGCAGACGTGAGTTTAGCACCAGTAACAACATTATATGTAAAGTAAGCTTATTGGGCAACAGAAGCTTTACATAAGAATTTAAAATGTGTTTATACTAACTTTAGTGCCTCTTTAGCGTTATCTGACAAAAACGCATATGAAAATCATTCATTATTAGAGTCAATAGACGTCTGTTATATATCAATTTCTTTTTAATCTGCTGTCAAAGACAATATCTGTTTTTTGGTTGGAGAAATGCTATAAATAAATAGCTAAATAAATACATTGAATTAAGTTTCATTAGTTACGCTTTTAAAGAGATTACAGGTTAAACTGCAGATTTGCAGACAATTACGAGAACGAAGACATTTTGAGAACAAAAAAAGGAGATGATTTAATTATAACGCCAAGTCGACAACATTTCCCTGAGAATTCAACAGATGCATCATGACATGAATTGTGATAGTCTTTTCATCTAAAGGAGCCGTCATGTTTTATAATGTTTCGAATATTTTCAAAAAATTCAAGAATTCATTAAACACGTATTATTATTATTATTATTATTATTAGCAGTAGAAGTAGTAGTAGTTGTAAATCTTAACATGCAAAATAAATTAGTTTTAACTTATCTCTCTACTTTTCCCATTAAGTTCTATCAAAACCTCCTCCGCCATCTATGAGCACAAAAGAAAGAGGCCCTTTGACTAAAATTCGAATGAGAGTGGGTATTGTTTTTTCCTTAAACCTTCAAACCACCGGCAACTCAGTGCAGGCTATTTTTGACGGAATTATGACTGAACTCGGCAAATTTAGCAAGGAGGAGGGAGAGTGTACGACGTTCAACCAACCACTTGCTGTCAAATGAAGCTCCTCCTACATGAATTTCTCACTATTTTAAAAGGTCAAAATGTGAGACTGACATTGTCATGTTAACAACCCGCGTGATTTAACTCTCTGTTCAAATTAACTGGACTTGCTTGTCATGGGTAACAGAAACTATTAAATATAACACAAATTATCATATGCGTGTGTGTGTGTGTGTGTGTGTGTGTGTGTGTGTGCGCGTGTGTGTGTGTGTGTGTGTGTCCAATGGCAAAATGATGATTTTGAGGTAGTAAACTGTATTATTTAGTAATAGTATGTGCAACCACTCTGTCTGTGCATAGATAACAGAAAGCCAGTGATTCATTGATGTTACTGTCTCTGTGTTCTATATACAGACAACTGATACGAGGATTCCTCATCATGAAGACGACAGAGTGATGGAATTGATCCTCCTGATCCCATGTATTCTCAGCATTTCATCATGGTCATCAAACTGAAATCTACACATCAACTGTAACTAAATTGCTAAATTTTACATTTGTAAATGTCTTACTGTGCAAATTATCACTGCACTCACGTGAAACTACTCTGCAAGCCTTAAAACATTAGTTATGGTTTGGTGACCTTAGTTTTGCATCAGGTCCTCAAGGGCTTAAAGGGATAGCTCACCCAGATATGATAATTCTGGCATAATTTATTCACCCTCATGCCATTCCAGACTTGAATGACTTTCTTTCTTCTGTGGAATATAAGACGTAAGACGGTGGAAGTCAGTGGTAACCAAAACTGTTTGATTACCAATATTCTTCAAAATGGCTTCTTTTGTGTTCTGCAGAAGAAAAAAAGTCCTACGGGTTTGGAACGACATGGGGATGAATAAATGATGACAGACTTTCCATTTGGGGGCAAATTATCCCTTTTAAAAATAAAAGATTAACACAGTTTAATGTGTATCACATACTGTACACTCAGTTCAAAAGAAGAATTAGCAATGTCACTCCATACACTCTCATGTGCTCTGCCTAAATATGTATTAAATATATTTGTTTTCCCTCGGTTTCAATAATTCTCCAGTTGCTCAGCCTTGTGACTAACCTTTGACAAATGTTGAAATAATAGTTCTGTGTTTGTGTTACTTTTGGCACAATAGCTCCCTCTGGCCTTTTTTGTTTTGTTTTGTTTGTTGGTTTGTTTGTTTTTGGCCCTCTCTCTCACATGAATATGAGAAGATGCTCCCACAAATGTATTAATTATATGTAATAGATTATATATATATATATATATATATATATATATATATATATTGTATGTATATATATATATATATATATATATATATATATACAGTATATATTTATATTATATATATTTGAAAGTGAATGGTGATTGAGCTTAACATGCATTGAACAGGATATTCCCTTCAAATGTCTGAATGTCATTGCATTATATAATAAAGTATTAAGCCAAGTGACTTTTGTTTTATGCTGGTATTGTATATATATATATATATATATGTGAGTGTGTGTGTGTGTGTGTGTGTGTGTGTGTGTGTGTGAAAAGCTGATTCTAGAACAGAAAGTGACGTCTGCTGACAGACCTGGCTGCAGTCTTATCTACATGTGCCTTTCTGAGTATGTTCTCGTGATCATATGATTCAGCGCATGAATCCATATGCATCCACAAGTCCATAGCATGACACAATTTTTTGTGAAGAATCAATTATTGTCTCACATAGGAGGTTATTCACTCTTTTCTACTCTACTCTCGTCATTCATTCATCCAAGTATCTGTAAAACGAAATAATAAAAGAATAAATCTTCTTTAATAAAACGTTATACATAATCAAAAGCTTAGTTGTTAAAATAATGTAATGAAACATTTTTATTTAAGGGTTTTTAGCTGGCCCTCTTCGTTTAGGAGTCA